TTCACATTGTATTTCAGGTAAAAAAGAACTCTGATTGCGCCCAAGAAGCGTTTTAGCCGTTATCGATGTGTGTGCCCCTTGTTTATATTGTATGTGGTGTTGAATGTTGTAGACCTGTAAGTCATAAATATGTCAAAATATTTACGCTCTGTTGCTGTACATCTGCATTATGGAGTTGATGAGTTTGTATCTCATATTGTCAGCAGACTTGCACTTACTACACAACATTGTCATCACCATTGATGTTTCCTAATACACTTTTGGCCTGAAGCTGTACTGAGTAGAAACGTCTGCCAAGTCAGTCTAATCGTATAGGAGAGCAGAGCAATGTCAGATGTTCTCGATAGAAAGATGGTCTGGATATCAGGTATAAAGGTGTGTTACTGTATGTTTGGCACCGACGTCTTTGAGTTTTTCGTTTGACTCCCGCCCGGCCCGTCCGCCGCCTCGCTAATGGCTCCCCCGCGTACCTGTTATGGGGCTTCGCGACAGATGCATAAGAGCAGAGGGTATCCAAGGTAACCAAATCTCCGGAGCGCTGCCCAATCAGCAGCGGGCCAGCTGTGTTAAAGAGACGCCTGCTTGCCAAAGACAAGGGGACCCGTCGCTCAGTCTGCATCAGCTCCATTTGTAGCACTGCATGCTTTTGCTTTTCAGAATGCACTCATATTTCACATAGGCGTTGCTTCTAAGTGATGGAGTAAATGTGATACGTTATGACATCAAACATGCAAATATTTGTCAATCATTATGGATTACTTGTGAACAATAATACATTTTCTCCTTTAAATTTGAATGTACTTTTGGGTTATGGTCTTTAGTCCATAATCAGCTGCAACAATACTTTGCAAAATCCTATGAAATTATCTGCCTAAACTTGTAAAAGATCATTTTTTTATTCTTTTATCTATCTATCTATCTATCTATCTATCTATTTATTTTGAGGGAGTCATATTATTTGTAGAAATCTGATTTTGCAGTATGTAAAACACTAGGCCTACACGTTGCAAAACCACATTTGGCAGACTTCTGGAAAGGAGTACGGAAGTGGACATGTGACCGAGAGTTTGTGAGTCCAAGTCTCCTGATAGGCCCCTGCTGTTGTACTCTAGAATTAACTCCGGGGGCAGCTATAAAAGTAAATAGGAAGATTTTATGATTGCAGTTTTATGAATGTGCTTGAAAGTTGCTAAATAAATAAATTACTAAAATATGGTGCAGAAAACAAACGCTGGAATACCTAGCAAAACTGCCTCAGCAGGCCGCCTAATTAGCAGGACCCTAGGCAGGCCTTCTGGGAGAACCTGAGACCATTGTTGTCTCTGCAAACATTTCAAGACAAGTTTACCTGTGTTTGTAGTCTGTCTAGTACATAGCAATTTCATGGGGTCAGCAAGGCTTAAAAAAACCTTTCAGCTGTCACAGTGACTGTATACATGTTGTTTGCATGCCATTTCATATACAGAGTGTGAGCAACATTTCTGTAGAATGTTGAAAAACAAGTCGCTGAGTCTTACGTTCATTTCGTCAGTCTGTGGCATCCACTGCGCAACATGGGAGCTCTGAGTGGTGAGTTACGCCATTGGTCGATGAGAGAGAGGCCCATGCTTTCATGGTGGATATGTAGAAAGCCAGCAGTTGCACTTACCCAACAGCATCCTTGAAAGTAACAACTGCTTTCCTTGGTGTTACAAAGCATAAGTTGGTACAAGAGAGTCACCAGGTGCATCTAACCGTTACTGTTTCAGCAGAGACAGTTCCAGGAGAGATGCAGTCGTTGAAAGCCATTTAACTTTTTGTTTGCATGAATATCCACTCAAAGGCATCTCCTGTGATGTGAGTCAATCGTGTGATAGGGTGATGCACATCTTTACATCATCAATGCATTTTAAATTCCCAGCCTGTTGTTTGGTACTGGCATTGGACTATGGAGTGTGACATGCACCGGAATCCCTACATGTGTGAGATTTTGTTCTTCCAAAGCTACTTTTGCCCTCTGCCCCTACAGCTTTTTTGTGGCATATCCGGGGCAGATCTCCTGTCCAGCATGACACTGGTCGATCTGAAGCCGAGAAGGGAGCTGCATGAACTGGGGCACAGCGAGGGATTCTCTGGTCCTCTGGGCGATGGATCAGGCCTTGTTGTCTTCAGGGTCTCTAAGTAACAGAGCTGCCTCTAGCCCTCAGAGGAAAATCCTGTGCTGGATACTGCCGATAATGAGCAGCACTGTGAAGACTGATATTTTCCTACAGTGAGGACCCAGTGGAATTCCCACAAACACGCACATGGACCTGCCCGACTGCCCTTTCGCTTCACAAAAATGTTTCACCAGCCTTTCAGGCCAGACCAACCTGGCAGAGTGAGGAGAAACCCAGACTTTAAGGTGCTTCGTCAAAATGGATGAATTTGCCTTTTAATCCAAGTAGTCAGATTTTCAATTGACTTTCATTGAATTGCAATCTCATATGTCCAGGGCTGAGGGTTTGATTCCCAGCCTCAGCTCTTTGTGTGCAGTTTGCATGTTGTGTCCACTCTGGTTTCCTCCAGATATTTTGGTTTCTCTTTGCAGTCCAAAAACAGACATTTAAGAGAACTGGTGTGTCTGAATGGCCCATAGTGCACAAGCGTGTCTCCTGCCTCGTGCTTGTTTTTTATATCAACATGACACAGAAAAAAAAACTAGTTATTTAAGCTATACAAAGTTGTGAATAAGGAAGTCGACCTTGTGTCTTATTTTTCTCTGAGCTCTAGTACAACATGTTTACTTTTAAAATCACCTGAGAAACAGGACCTGCTGCTAGCTTGTGCCCAGAGGGGCAATGCTCTGTACATCGGGGAATGAGGTTTAATGAGGCCTATTAAAAAAAATAAAATAAAAGCATGGAACGTGTGCCCGACATGTGCCCGACGGCAAATCCTAAAAGTCAGCTGGGGCACTGCTGTGACAAACAATATTTATGCTACATGGAAATGAATCTGGCTCATTCAATAATATGCAGAGAAACTTTCCCACAAAGAATGCGTATATTTCTGCGTATATATTATTTTTGTGAAATGGGCATGTTCATCTACAGATGATTCAAATGTAAAATGTGATGTTTGTCAAAGTTTGCTTTTTATTTATTATTAAAACATTATATGAACCCCACCCCCCAAAGTCCAGATATATGCTGAAGTGAATTGGGGTTGGTAAATTATCCATAGATTTGAATGTGTATGGGCCCTGTTATGGGTTGTCACCCCAATCCGGGTTGATCTCTGCATTGTGCCCAGCAACCCTGTATAGGACAAGTGGTTATGGAAAATGATTGCAAATCTGGAGAAATCAATACAACTCCAAGAGTCTCACAAACTTTTCCTCAGAATTGCTTATTACATTATATATAAAATCATATTTTTGCATCACATGTATTCTTCCCCAAAAGTGCTTGGGGTCATTGTAAGTCTATGTGACATACTGGCATAAAGAACTGAATCTATATGCAAACAATAAAGAAAATGCACATTATCTATTCTTCTAAATTATAGAAGGAAGTCATAGTAGTAACATTGAGATGCTGAATTTGTCAAACAAGGAAGATCACAGGAGAAATAATCGGACTGCATCCAAGAAAAATTGCCATGAAGATCTCTAAAGTAAAACGATGAGGCTGCAGTGTGGAAGCTGGCTGTAGTTTTAATGTGACAATTAGCATTAATCTGTCTTTTCTGTGGCTCTGCTAAAAATGACTGTACTACATACTACTGTTAAGTCACATAGTCACATATTGTCCATTGGTTAGTCTGGTCAATTAACAATTTAGAAGTTCTTTTCTTTTCTTTACTGCAGTATCCAACCCCATAAAAAACACAATACATTTATTTGCTCTAACAAACTACCTAAAATAAATATTTTGGTTTTCAGGCTTTATCATTATCCAATACTATCCAACACATCAGTGTGAGACCAAATGCGTCAGCCCTAACTCAAATGTGAAAGGTTATGCTGTCTAATTGATTCGGTTCGCCTCGCATCTTCTGCGCTACCGCGCATGACTGGATTGCGGTCGGCGCCGTCTCTCCCACCCGTGCGTAATGACGCTACAGCGGCGTGGGGTTTCCCGGAGCTGAGTGCAGGGTTACCGCGCCCATCTCTGCTGGTTGATGGCCGGAGGAAGCGACTGAGGTGCCTGAAAGAAACCGTCAAGGAGTGACTACAGTGCTACACCGAATAAGGAAGACAAGAAAGGCTGCAGAATTTAAAAAAAAAATACCGAGGGACGGAAAGGGACTGTAGTGAGTCAAGCCGGCGTTAGATGACACTCTTGTTCGGCGCCTAGCTGCTCTTTGCGCCAGTGTGCCGGTGTGTCTCCCTCGGCGTATTGAAAGCTGGGTTCGGGGAGTGGCGCTCCTCGGCAGCTAGCGAGCTAAATCTGAGCTGGGTGGGCGCGGAGAGGATCCCATCTTCGCTGTTTCCGGTCAATGCCATATAGCCGAACGACGGACATCCCCGACTGAAAAACGGGTAAGGGGACAAGAAAATGTGGGCTGTGGGGGAGGTAGGGCGAGGGGTTCGTGCGAAACGGGGGCGACAGATTGCTAGGAGGGTGTCAGCCGCGGTCGAAAGGGGTTAAACTGGGCTGCCTGACTGGGGCTGTGCTGCGACGGGGTGTGGGGGCAGCTGGACATCCAGATGGGTAGTCGGGTGACATTGATACAATATTTCAAAAATAGTATTAAAATGGTGGATATAATTGCGCATTTTTTGTTTCTTTGCCCGGCGCTTCCCCCTTAGCTTGCTGGCGAGCCCACCCGGTTTCATGGGGGATGTTCTGCAGTATTGTTCATGGCTCTACATTGGAAATGAATTTGCAGCTAGCTCTGCCTTATTTGCATATATCCCCCGCTATATTAGCTGGGCAGCCTTAAGCCCTGTTACCTGGCACTAACCACGCGATTTGAGAAAAAAATAAAACATCTCGTATAACTAGTTGAACTAAGCGTAGAAATATTCAATAGTGAGCCAGTGTAGTCGTTACGCTGCTGGGTGTCTAGCTGGCTTTCCAGCTTCCGTGGGTCCATTTCGGGGACGATGCTGCGGTCACCCACAGGATCCGTTTTGTGGAACCCTTTGGTTGTCGGCTAAAGGGGGGGATTTGGCTGCCGTGCACGGCGGGCCGGCTAGCGTCCCCGTCGCCCCCTTATCCTTTAACGTCGGTGGCTGATAGGGTGTGTGCGCCCGATGCGGCCATGCAAAGACTTAGTTGCATGATTGAAAAACATACAATTTTCTTTCGAGAATTTAATGCTTTAAACAGTAAAAAAGAAATGCATCGGAGTCTTCCTGATGACAAGAGCAGTGGCTGTTGGCTATTACATTTTTTCGAGAGAGACTTGTTTCGTGGCCGCGATCCCATTCAGTGGTGATCGGAATATATTTTCCCCCATCGTCGGTGGTGGCTGGCGTTTTCAGCCCCGTCCGAGATCAAAGGTAAGATAGCTAGTTAGCTTCACCCAGCAGGTCTTATTTCTGGGCTGCTGTGCATACGAGATTGTCCCCCCCCGGACATAATAAGAGGCTCGGGAGGGAATTTAAGTAGCGAACAATTCGAATGTTCTTCGAAACGAATCGACGCCGTTTTACATGCGGATCCCCTTTGGGCAGCTGGCGCCGCCGCTGTTAAGATGTCCAGCAGTGCGCTCGTTGACGACCTTAACGCACCGTCCGGGTGTGTTTGATGTGTGTTAACACGCCAGCCGCCTTTTTAAATGATCCAGCAACAAGGTAATTGGATTTCGACAATCGTATTTAAACGTGATAGCAATTCACTCTGGATTTTTTTCTCAACATTTTTGGCCGTGACACCGGCGGATCTCTTTACCGCTACAGCTAAGAGGGAGGAAATGGGTTACATGCATTAAAAACGAGGAAGCCACCATTCCTCCCAGATGCAATATCTGAAAAAGATAACACAACACGGTCAAGTAGGGGGAATTCTCGGCACAGAAAAAAAAATGTACATACGGAATCAGGCATTGCAAACTACTTTGACCTCATGAGTTGTAACAATGTAACGTTTTGCCTTACAAATTACCAGTCGTGGTCACGTTATAAAAAATAAAATAAAAGCAGGTTCACTGATTCGATACATCTACTCGAAGGGTAGAAGGAAAATGGCCAAGGCTAATGTGTGTGTGTGTTTTTTTTTTTTCCTCCTTCTGGCCATTCGTTGACTGTTTTGCGGTATTTTGGCGAGTCTCTTGTTTACGCTTTTATTCTTTATTTTTAAACTAAACGCTATTTCGTATTTTTCTTAGTTAACAAAGATGGATTCATTCTGTTTAGTTTTCAAAACCTCGTAGAATGAATGGGTTCCTCTATTCTTGGCCGGAGCAGCTGCGAACGAACAAGATGGCGTTTGCTGATTTTTTTCTCCCCTCCGTAGCGCCTTCTCTGTGTCTGTGAAAGACAGTAACCCAAGCATCGGCACAATTCGGGCAGACACTCGGTACTGGCCAGTTAAGTTTTGCCTAGAAGTTTCACGGCAGTGGGCCATTATGTTATGTTAATCAGTTTAATATCGGTGATGAAATAAAGAAGCCAGTCAGTCTTTTTAAACCGGGGATATTTGGGGCAACACCAAAGAGGATGTTTGCATATTTCATCCTGAACTCTAGTGATTGCGAAATAAAATGTTTCAAATGTTAAGCTGCTTGACGGATCCTTTAACGCAGTTTATATTGCACTTTTAAAACAACAGTGTTTGATGTCTAAAATGTTAAATTATAAATCTGGTGGGACATTTGCATCGTTTAATTTGAAACGCGTTACATTTCCTTTAATATATCTGAAATATTATTTGCAATTTTTAATAAACGGTGCGCTATATTAATCGGCATATAGCATTTTGGGTAATGCATCAAGTATGAGTTTTATTTGAACACTGGTTAGACACTGTCAGAATTAGGTGCGATAAATCATAAGCAATGCTTTACATTTCCTGTCACATTTCTTTTGTTGAAAGCCAGAACATCCCCTGGCGTTTCTCACCATGCCTTACTCTTTCTGTTCGACTCCGGTCAGTTTTGTGATCTAGCGACCTGGAGAGCTTCACATCGACGTAACGTTTTGATTATTAATGTCTGTCATCGCCTTCGTGTACTCATCTGACTCCGCCGCTAGACGTTCTTCACGTTAGGCAGGAGAACTTCGCGAGGGCCAAAGAAGCCTCGTCTCAGTTTCTAAACGTTAATCTCGGCGATAGAAATTTAGGATCTTTTGCTTGTTCCTCTTTGTAGTATCTGCTGTTCATTTATGTGTCGATTCATGAATTGTATAATACTTATGGAACATAGGTAACACATGGTTTTCAGTGAAGAGATGCATGTCTAAATTGGGTTTATTGTATTTTTTAAAAAATTATTTCTGGTCTTTACAGTTTTTATTCTTTTTCAATTTATAATGAAATCAAAAGGAGGTTAGAGTGGATAGGGAGCATTCAAGTTTATAATTATCCTGGTACACAAAACAGTTAACAGTGAGCTGTGGCCTAATTTGGATATGAGGCTGGTTGGCTCCCAGCTGGTCTGGTGCTAAAGAAGCAGGCAGTCTGTCAGGTGTTTTCAAGTATATTTTTCTTTGCATATCTAACAGGGGGTTGTCTTCCATTCATTAGAGGCACCCACTGCTGTAGCTGTTTGGAACCTTGTCTCCTTAAGGAGGGTTGTAACTGCACCTGGATCGAGGGTGAAATCCCTGTGTGTCTTAGGTGTGCTATATATGTGGTAGGAGATGATAGATTAATCATTAGGACACATCCATGTGTATCTATTCTGTGCTTTTACATCTTCATGCTTTTAACCACAGTGGGTTGACCCTCTGCTCGAATAATTATAATAGTTTTATTTTGACATCTGTATGCCATATTTTATTTGACTTTTTTTTTTTTTATATTTGCGGTTTATAGTCTTAATGCCTATCAAAAATGTACTTATTGTACATAAAAAATGGGAAGCTAGCTGTTAAATGTAGTTGTGACCTAGCTATTGTGCTAATGTCATCAAAAATCATATGTTTTTAATACTCATGTCAGCTTTTTAATGAAAAGCTATAAACAAGTGTGGTTCAGCCATATTTGACAGTAAGGTTACTAAAGACTCCGACTCACTTTAGCTAAGGCCATCATAGGGCATGGTGCCCCCCAGTCACACTGTGCTAATAGTGTAAGATGGTGAAAAGCTGCTTCTGCGAAAATCTTGGGCAAATGGCCAGTTAACCATAGTATTTCAAACAATTAGAATGAATCGTTATGATAACGAGGGTGCATCGTTTGTGTTGTGCAGCCGCTCTCGTCTTTATGGCTCCTTTGGACATCCTCACGGTATTCCGCTCATTAGCGTGAAACTCTAGGCATGTTTTTTCACCAAAAGTAGCTATAAGTATATATTTTTTCAAATTTTTTGGGCATCGTGCCCTCAGTGATTATGTTCATATTGCTCAGAAAAGTGGTAATCTATAGCTAGAAAGTTTACCATTCAGATGACTCATAACACCAAACCAATGCAGTAAATTGGTTTGGCAAAGCTGTTTTGGGTTCTGAAATTTCTTACCGAAAGCTTTGGTGTAAATCATAATTCAGCTAATTTACTTGTAGCTATCAGACACTATCTTTTCCTAGAACATTTTTGTGCCCGTTGAGTTAATGTGCATGTAAGTGATCCCTCCTCCGCTTCGCTGCTGTTTGTCAACGTGCAGAATTAATGGTTTGCAGCCACAGAAATCTGCCTCCGGTTTCCAGCGACTGCTGTCTCCTGCTTTGTCCCGTTCAAAAAACTTCTGCTAAGGCACTTAGGGCATCAGGCAGCTCTAAATAGATGGAGGTGGCCTGTGTAAGAAAGCATTCCATATAAACATTTATAGACGGAGACAAATAAGTTTTGTGGAGTTTTTTTTCTGTAATTGGGATGGTTTTGCACAGGGCAGCTCAACTCTCTGAACTGAACTTTCTGACATTTAATTGTACACTTCATGTTTTTACAGCATGTCTTAAGACAAAAATATGGAAGGACAGCATCATAAAAGCTTTGCAAGGTTTAAAGTTTCTGTGAGCTGATTAAAATGGAGCTGCGGCGAGTATTTGCACAAATAGCAATGAACAATTATCTGGCTTCTGTGGACTAAAGAGAATGCTATTTGTTTCTAGCAGATTTTCCACCCTTGCATATTCTGTTATGTGAGTGGGAACCAATAGGATTAAACTCTTACCGTTCATGGATCTGCGCTTTTAGGATTACTAGTGAGGTCAGCGATAGTGCTGATTTTTACCACTTGTTTTATATGATCCAGTTTTAGCCACATAGGATTTCTCTCATCACTCCCAGGTGAACAAGCACAACCGTTTCTCTCACTCCTTTTATGAGGCAAGAAACAGTGTAGAATTTCCCTGGTGACAATGTTTGCGCCAGGCTCTTACAGATAAATGTGAGCACAATACAAAGTCAGTTGTGCACACCTTTCGTTTAGAATGTCATACTTAGAAGTGCTGTATGTGAACAGTCCACATCCCAACTGCGGTATGAAAATGCAGTGGAGTCCTAAGAAGATGCTGGAACGTGTCTGCAAAATTAATCATGATGAAGGTGCAGAACTTGACGTGGAATGACATCACTCGTGGTGGGTCAGATGGTGGCCCCGAGGAGAGTGATACTTGAATATGGATGCAGCTGACAGTTGTTGCTCCATTTATGGCTTAACCTCTTCAGCCCACTGTCTTGATGGCAAATATAGGAGGAGAATGAAAGCTGGAGAGAAGAAGCAGGAAGCTGTTGGGCTTCAGTGGAGATGGTGCCGAGTAGAGCAGTAGCAAGGTAGACGTAACAGCGGTGTATCCCCAGAGCTAGGGGTTCATTTGTGATCTTGCTTGATCTGTGGTGCAATAATAGCACAACATGGCTACCTGCTTACTCACTAAGGATGGTGGTCTATAGATGGTTCATTGTCGATGGAAATGGAGCTGGACATTGGAGCTGCCAGCGCCTGGAGGATTAGGAATCTCTGTGCATGTAGTCCTGAAAAAGTTAGCCAGTCTGGAGTTTGGTGGGATCTTAGTCAAGCAATGGGCTAATCACACTAATAAAGTTCAGTAATGGTGCAAAAACACAACCATAATCAAATGTATAGTCTATTTAATGTTTATATTTCTGTTCTGCTTCATGAAGCACCATTAGCGCAGTAGTACAGTTCCTGCTAATCAATGCACTAAGAAATGTGATCAAAAACGGCAGGCTGTCGAGTGACTGTCTGCTGGTCCGGCTCAGCAGAATGGCTCCCTAAGTCTTTCTGGAAGGTTTGAGGAGCCCAAACCTGACCTGTAGATTGGGGTATATTTGAACACAAACAAGCTCCTCTTCTCCACGGCAATTTATTTTTAGTGTTTGGCTGCATGTGACTTTCCACTCT